CACGAGAAACACAAGCTGTTAGTGCCTTGACTTTCACACCATGCCTGTGCCTCATTTTGCCTCTCTTGGTGACCAGAGAAACTGTGGCTGCCCCATCCCTGGAAGCGTTCAAGGCCAGGTTGGACGGGGCTTGGAGCAACTTGGGATAGTGGAAGGTGTCCCTACCCATGGCAGGGGGTGGAATGACATGAGCTTTAAGGTCCCTTCCAATCCAAACCATTCTGGAATTCTATAATTAATTCTATAAACCATTGCTGCTCTTCCATCTCCTTCCTACCTCCTTTCTCTGTTTGGATAACAAACTGCTTACAACAGGACTTCAGTGTCACATCCCTGGAAGTGTTCAAGGCAGGACTGGACAGGGCTTGGAGCAATCTGGAATAGTGGAACATGTCCCTGCCCATGGTAGGGGGTTGGAATGAGATGGTCTTTAAGGTCCTTCCACCACAAACCATTCTATGATTCTGTGGCTCTCTGATCCCACAGAGCCCAGGCTGATGAAATAACGACAACAAGAGCAACAACAATAATGAAAACACACTGCACTCACGGAATAGAAGGAAAATTATCTGAATTTCCATCTGCTGCCTCCTTTGCCCACACTCCCTCCAGCGTTGCCTGCCAGCCACTGCACAGCACCGCCGAGCCCTTCGCTGGCAGCGTTTCTAGGAGCAGCAGCCCCTCGCCTGGAGCCTGGTTGTGCTCCTCGCCTGCCCCAGTGGCTGTTCTCTGAACCCCTCGTCTCCTGGCTGCGGGCTCTCGTTCTGACATCCTTTGCTCCGTGGGTCAGACGTTGTTAATCTCTCACTCCCTGCCTGGCACTTGATGGGCGGCTCCTCTGCTCGGCTCTCACAGCCTCATACCAGAGCTCACCTCTAATCCGAGTGCTCCCTCGAATCAGCGTCCTAAATCAAACCTGTCTTTTCCTTTTAAGTTCTCCAGGCAGTCCTTGTCCCTAGTGCTTCCATCACACCTCTCCCAGGACTCCCTCAATAAGAATTTTTAGCCTGGCCTCAGGTCATTTATCACACAACAGAGGCTTATTTGCCTCACAAATGACTTGTTGCACGGCCAAGATTCACATCTTATTTCTTTACTTGTTTTTCTCCTCCTTTTCCCCCCCACTTCTCTTTTCCCGGTCGCCCCTCCTCTGCCTCCTGCCTCTCCCATCCCTGAGGATGTGACATCCTCACATCCCCCCGGTTGATGGGGCATTTGAAAGGGGCACAGAGAGAAGAAAATGCGTTTTGATTGGTGCTGTTTGCTCCTCATTTGAACTCGGGGCGGTGCACTCTGGTCCAGACACCTCTTGCAGGCTCTAGTCTTAGCAGACCTGAGCCCCACCTGTCAGTGCCTGTCTTCCCAACAACTCCAAAGGAATTATAACATGTCCATGGATCCCACACCAGTGTCCTCAGGTAGTCAGAGACTGGTGTAGAGCTTTTAGTGGCACTGGCCCACTGCTGGTGGCACAGGAGCTGCCTGTCAGCTGGGAAACAGTTCTGTCCCTTCTGCCTTCCTTCCACGGGTCTCCTCCAGGTGGAATGGGGTTGTCAAGGTGAGTATCAGGCTCAGATGAGCTTCCAGCCCTCCTCCATTTACCTGCTGTTTCAATTCCCCTGCGTTGTTGTCTCTGTTCATCCCAGCTGGATCTTTCCCTGAGATCCTGACACTTCAACCTGCGAGTGGCATCAAAGGAATTCCCCAAAGCCTGTGGGGACTCTGGAGCTGATGCTGACAGATCAGGGATCGATAGTGACGTGCCAGGAGGAAAATGCCCTGAGCCCTGAGTGATCTTTGCAGGGCTGGCTGTCGGGAAACACTTCTTTTCAAGTAAGACCCTTGGGAGGAATCTCTGGAGAGCTCTGAATGAAATGCCCACCAGGCATCTTTATCCCTTTATTTTTTTCAGAGAGGAGCTACATTTCAAGCTCTCCAAGTGCACTGGAAACAGGATTTCAGGCCATTTTCTCAGACGGTTGTACTCACCCATAGCAGCTGTTATTTCTCTTGGAAGAAAATACATAAACAAACATATATATATTCATCCACATATTTTTCTTTCCTGTGACACCAACTTTTACTCAGGAGTGTAATTAGGAAACACAACAATTGCCCCTGGATGGAACGTTTCCCTTTACACACATTGCCTAATTTCACTGCCCCTGTGCATATTCATGGACTTAAATGTGTTTTAAACTATTAATTTGCAAGAACTGTGTTTACCTCTGTGTAAAACAATTTGGACCTTGACCTCAAGCCTCCTGTTAAGCAAATATTAAATTATAATTAAAGCAGGTACAATCTCCTTTGTGTTTTGAGTTGTGGTTCTTTGCAAGGTAGGAGTAAGAGCTTTGGAACTAGAAATGCTCTGATGCAGTTGAATATTAAGTTTCAAAACCAAACAAGACATGAATCTGAACCTCAGGGCATCCTTTAACAGAAATTACTTCAGATTTTCCACCTCCAGTGATGTCTTTATAGAACAGCAAAGCTGATCCAAACGTGTGGAATGCTGCTACCTATTGGAATGATCAAATATAACACTCAACTCTCAGCTAGAAGACTTAAACCTCTCCAAAATAAAAAAATGGAGCAGAATTTGGCTGATGTGAAGTGGCTCACACAAGTGACCATTCAAACACTCGATGGACAGGTGACAATATAATTTAGTAGATGTAAAAGATACCTTGGAGGAAAAATGGAAATGAAATTCATGGAAATGGATGTTAATGCCAGGAGGGGCAATTTGATCGGGGAATACAGGTAGAAGGATGAGGGAGAGGAGGATCCATCACCTCCTGTTTCAGATACAGATGACAGCAAAGAATGGCCACTGCTGAGAATCCCTGGGTGGTGATGGAAGGGGAGGAGGAGACTTCCTATAATTCCCTGACAGGAGTTTGGAACCAGGTGGGGGTCAGGATTTGCTCCCAGAGAACAAGTGATAGGGCACAAGGAAACTGCCTCAAGTTGTGCCAAGGGAGAGTTAGATTGGATATTAGGGAAAATTTCTTCACTGAAAGGATTGTCCAGCCCTGGCACAGCTGCCCAGGGTGGAGTCCCCATCCCTGGAGGGATTCAAAAGCCACGTGTGGCACTTGGGGACATGGGTCAGTGACGGCCTTGGAGTGCTGAGGGATGATCTCAGAGGGGTTTCCCAACCTTAATAAGTCTGTGAAGATCCCTGTGGGTGACCTGTGAGCACTAGAAAGAGGACAAGGTGACACAGAGCTAGTGGTGAGATGAGAGTTCATCCCTTAGGAAGACAGCAGGGCTGATGGGATTCCACTAGGGTTATCCAGAGAATCAGCTGGGCTCCAAAACCCCCTCTGGGCTAGAAGATGGGCACCGGGAATTCAGGTTACAGAGCAGATAAGGGAGGTAGAGTGAACCCTGTCCTAGAGTGCCCAAGCAGGTCTCTGCTGGATATGAATTTTGTCAGGACAGGACAAAAAGAAACCAAAGAAGGCTCTTCCATAGTTGATTCTGATCTCCAGGGATTTCCTCCTGGTGGAAAACATTAAGTGAAACTTTTGAAAGGGAAAAGACTTGTCTCTCAGGCCATGAAGGACTGGGAGGTATTTATTTGTTTCCACATCAGTCAAGCCTGATGAATCTGACCTGAAAGTGCAGAGAACTGGCAATAAACAGTACGGAGAACAAACACTGTGAGGATTCCTGACAGCTGGATATGGCCTTAGAAGAGCATGAAAGCACCAGATTGATACCCTTCTTTAAAGAAGGGAGTGGGGCAGCCAGAGCAGCCAGTTTAATAGGAACGGAATATAAACTACCCCTTCTCTGAAAGGGATATTAAAGAACAAAATATTACACTTGGATACAAAATGTAGCCAAAGAGAAAACACAGGAATCTGCCTGCAACTCCAGTTAAGTGCTCTGGAGAACTCAGCAGTGAGTGGCAGGTTTTGGGTGCTGTTCTTCTAAGAAAACAAACTGAGGAGTAGCTAAAAACCTGAAAATATGAATGACGAAGGAGGGGCAAAGATCTCAAAAATAAGATCTGCATGAAAAGATTGCTGAATAGCAGTGGTTTGGTTTAGTGAGTAATCAAAGAGGGGTTGGTTCAGTCTTCAAATACAATTTGTTGCAGAAAGGAAAAAATCCTCTTTTTCCACATCAGAGGTGGGTAAGACAGGAAGCACTGAGGCAATATTGTAGGAGGGAATATCTGTGTTCATAGCAGGATCTTTAAACACTTTGAAAATGAGACTAAAGATGTAATTTGCCTGAGGATACTTCAGTTTGGAGAGGGACTTTTACAAGGGCCTGGAGCGACAGGACAAGGGGGAATAGCTTAAAACTGCCAGAGGGCAGGGTTAGATGGGATATTGGTGAGAAATTGTTCCCTGTGAGGGTGGTGAGGGGCTGGGATGGAATTCCCAGAGAAGCTGTGGCTGTCCCATCCCTAGAAGTGTCCAAGGCCAGGTTGGATGGGACTTGGAGCAAGCTGAGATAGTGGAAGGTGTCCCTGCCCATGGCAGGGGGCTGATCTGGGTGATCTTTCATGTCCCTTCCAAACCAAACCATTCCATGACTTTGTGAAGTTGATGCTCTTTGACAACTTTAAGGAGTTCAGCGATGGCAAGTTGAGCTTTATCACAGCAGGGCGGGCAGAGGATGCTGCACAGGGCGCCCTCGGTGTGCGTGTGTCCCCTTTCGCATTCCCTCCCAGGACAGGAAGATTTGGGGAAATTCAGGGACATTCACACCCTCAATTCCCTGGAATATTCAGACTGTCCGTGTCTCATATTTTCGACCACGCACCGAGCGCTGCTCATCCCCTCCCCCTGGCCGCGGGAACACCCGACACGCAACTGAGCCGTGTTTTAACGCATTTATTAAAATTTTAGCAAGTTTACACCCTCTTGTTTTCATTTTGGTGCCCGCTGCGCTCGCCTGTTTTAAAAACTCTCTAATGAGACGCCCTTTTTGCGCGCCGGAGATGACAAAAGTCCCCGTGGAGGGAGGAAGGCCCCCAAGATGGCGATGCTGGCGGAGCGTGAGTGGCGATCCCGGCGGGAATGTCCCGGGAATGTCCCGGGAGTGGGGACGGGGAGCGGCTCCAGACCCTCCCCACAGCCCTCGCTGAGGGGCCCGGGCCGCGCTGCCCCTCCCGAGGGGTGCGGGGGGGTCGCGGTGCCGGATAAGGGGGCTCGGGGGGGGTCCCAGAGTCAAGGGAAGGGGGTGCAGGGGCTGGGAGAGGCGGGATGGGGGGTCCCTGTGCCCGGGAAATGGGGTCTCGGGGTCCGCAGTGTTGGGGAAAGGCGGGTCATGGGGCGGAGAGATCCGGGATGGTGGGGAAAGGGGTTCAGGTGTTGAAGAACGGGGGGGCCTGGAGGGTGGGAAAGGCAGGAATGGGGGTCCAGGGAGTCTTAGAATCAAGGAAGTGTAGGGTTCGGGTCTGGGAGACTCGAGATGGCTGGGAAGGGGATTCAGGAGGCCCTTGGTATTGAAGAACGGGGGTCTGGAGGCTGGGAAAGGCGGGAATGGGAGTGCAGAGGGTCCCTGTGTTGGGGAAAGGAGGGTCGTGGGGTGGGGAGAGCCCGGGCTGGGCGAGAAGGGGGTTCAGGGCGTCCCTGGTGTTGAAAAACCTGTTGTCTGGGGTTTGGGAAAGGCGGGAATGAGGGTCCAAGTGGTCCCAGTCTTAAGGAAAAAGGAGATCTGGGGTCTGGGAAAGACAGGAATGAGGATGTAGGGGTCCCAGGATCAAGGAAATGGATGGTTGGATGGTTGGGGTCTGGGAGACCCAAAGTGGCTGGGAATGGGGTTCAGGGGGTCTAGGGTCTGGGAAAGGCAAGAATGGGGGTCCAGGCATTCCCAGCGTCTGGGAAAGGAGAGTCTGGGGTCTGGGAGACCTGGCATGGCCAGGACAGGGTTCAGGGGGTCTCCCGTGTTGAAGAACAGCAGGTCAAGGGGCTGCAAAAGCCAGGAATGGGGTCCAGGGGGTCCCAGGGTAGAGGAAATATTGGATGAATATCCTGTCTGGTAGCTCCCAGGTGTAGAGATAAAGAGAAAGAATATAAAGATAACTCTTGTCTCTGAAGTTCAGGAAACAGAATCTCTCAGGGCTGTCCAGAGTAGGAACTACAAACGTTTGCTGCCAAGTTCAAAGTGCATTCCAAGTAGTCTTTTCTGTTAAATGTAAAACTCTGTATGAGTAAAAACACGACTCAACTGGATTTTTATGTAACAGGACTAATATTCTCATCCCTCAGTATTGTTAAGATTCTTAGGTGCTTTCAGTAGACTTACTGCTGTCAAAACACCCTTAAAATGAGAGCACAGAGTCTGGTGAATTTGTTTGCTTGACTGCAGGAAATAGGGACTATAATGAGGAGTTAAAAATTATAGTTTCCACTGGAAAATACGGGTGTGAAGTGAGGAAAACAAAATTACGTTTGCATATGTGATTTTCTGGTTATTTTAGGTGTAAACTTTGGTGCCATTTTTTCAGGATTTGTTCATTATTTTAATTGAACACTGCACATGTCAGTAATCGTAGAGTAATGTGGGGTGAAAGGGACATTTAAAGCTCATCTCAGTCCACCCCCTGCCATGTGCAGGGACACCTTCCACTATCCCAGGTTGCTCCAAGCCCTGTCCAACCTGGTCTTGGACACTTCAGGGATGGGGCAGCCACAGCTGCTCCGGGCAACCTGTGTCAGGGCCTCACCACTCTCACAGGGAAGGACTCCTTCCCTGTATCCCATCTAACCCTGCCCTCTCTCAGTGGGAAGCCATTCTCATTGTCCTGTCCCTCCAGGCCCTTATCCCAAGTCCCTCTCCAGCTCTCTTGGAGCCTCTTTAGGCTCTGGAAGGGGCTCTGAGGTCTCCTGGGATCCTTCTCCAGGTGAACACCCCCAGCTCTCCCAGCCTGTCTCCAGAGCCTTGTCTTTCCTTGCCCCGACCATCCATGGGCACACAGCAGGGGTTTGGATGGGAGCTTTCAGAAATTATAGTTAAGAACACGCTCCAGGCCCAGAATTAGTCATGGTAAAAGGGTTTAATAATGGAACTTTTTCAAATTGTAGGATATCTGAGTGAAGGGGTTGAGTTGTCCAGCCCTGGCACAGCTGCCCAGGGCAGGGGTGGAGTCCCCATCCCTGGAGGAATTTAAAAGCCATGTGGATGTGGCACTTGGGGGTGTGGGTTAGTGGCGGCCTTGGCAGTGCTGGGGAACGGTTGGACTCGATGATCTCAGAGGGTTTTTCCAGCCTGAATGATTCTGTGGTTCTATAAAGAAATGACAGTTTTCTCCACTGGATGGTGCTGCTCGCCCGGAGTTGCATCACTTTACAAGCAGCCCAGAAGGTTGGTGTTAAATTATGAGCTGAATCTTTTAGCTGGAAGTTAGTGCCTTGTTTCCTTTCTTGCTCTCAAGACATCGGTGAACAAACATTTCTGATAAATTATTGACTAAACAGTGTTTCTTGTTGTTTTCTTGGAAAGGGAGGATGATTTTATGGTTCCTGTAGGTGGCATGGAGCTATTTCCAACTTCCTTAAATTCTTCTCTATAGGTGTAAGCAAGTTTGTTTGGGGGTTTTTCCTGCATTTGTCTTATCCTGTGTAAAAATAAGAGTATGTCAACCTTGTAGAAATATGACGATTAATCCCACAGTGGTAGTTAAGAAGTTTGAAATACATGGATTGCAAGTGCTGGGAAAGGGAAGGTCTCTTAATTTCAAGCTTAAGAAATATTTATTACAGGTGCCCTTGTGTTTTTTGTTACAAATGTCTTGGGAGTGAAACATCTCAGGGGGTTCTGCACAGGGGAATATTCAGGAAAAATAATAGAAAGTGAATTTTAAAGTGGATTAGCTGGACTACCTCAAACAACTCAATTTGGAAGTTAATTTAAATTCAACCATTCAGTTGTCATGGGTCACTTCACTGTGCAGACAAATCATTAGAAAGATGCAGTGGTTTGACAACTGTAGGAGTTGGGATCTGCAAAGTCACCACCCAGGGAACTGGTAACAGAGAGTGTAAGAGAGTATGGCCATCCTTAAAATGTTGTTAAAATTAAAAAAAGGCATTGAATAGTTTTTGATGGCTGAGTGAGGGAAAGTTGATGTTAATTGAGAGATTTTAGAGGTAGAGATGAAGAAATATGATTGGAAAGGAGGGCAGCTGCTCAGCTGGGCAGCATGACCTCTGGTAGAATCCTGGAATCAGAGTCATTAAGAATGGAAAAGAGCTCTAAGATCATTGAGTCCAGCCATTCTCCATCACTGCCCAGGCCACCAGTGACCCACGTCCCCAAGTGCCATATCCACATGGCTTTGAAATCCCTCCAGGGATGGGGACTCCACCAATGCCCTGGGCAGCTGTGCCAGGGCTGGACAATCCTTTCCATGAAGATGTTTTTCCTTAATATCCAACCTGAACCTCCCCTGCCACAACTTGAGGCTGTTTCCTCTGGTCCTGCCCCTTGTTCCCTGGGAGCAGAGCCCGACCCACCCCACCCCCCCCCAGCTTCCCCCTTCTGTCAGGGAGTTGCAGAGAGCCAGAAGGTCCCCCCTGAGCCTCCTTTTCTCCAGGCTGAGCCCCCCCAGCTCCCTCAGCCACTCCTGCTGCTCCAGCCCCTTTCCCAGCTCTGTTCCCTTCCCTGGACATGCTCCAGCCCCTCCATGTCTCTCTTGTCTGAGGGGCCCAGAGCTGCCCCCAGGGCTGGAGGTGCCCCAGCAGTGCCAGCACAGGGACAAGCGCCTCCTTGGCCCTACTGCCACACCAGGGCTGCTCCAAGCCTGTGGAGTTGCTTCATTTGTTGCTTCCCCACGTTTTGTTGGCAGCACAGGCAGGACTTGGAGTAGATGCTGCTCTGAAGGCTGCCTGGTGGGAATAATCATAGAATCCCAGAATGGTTTGGTTGAAAGGACCTTAAAGATCATCTCATTCCAACCCCCTGCCATGGGCAGGGACACCTTCCACTATCCCAGGTTGCTCCAAGCCCTGTCCAGCCTGACCTTGAACACTTCCAGGGATGGGGCAGCCACAGCCTTTAAGGTTAATAAGTTGTTTCCTGTGCAGAAGCAAAGGCCTTGTTAACTCCTCTCACAGCTCTTGTTCATTTAATCCGCTGTAAAATCTTTTTATGGATCTTTTTGAGCTTCAAAGCTTTGGAAGTTTGTTAAAAAAAAGCCCCCACTGTGCATCTGACAGTGCTGGTTCTTTAAGAGCAAAACTAAACAGGGCACAAAATGAGTCAAACATCCCCGTAGTATTCAGTCCCTCTGGCCCAGATCCCAAATCTGGTGTTTTAGGGAACGATGACTTCCTGATTACGTTGAAAACACCTCAGTGAGTTTGGCTTCTCCCTGACTTTGTGTGGCCTTGGGTGAACGGGTCATTTTTGATCCCCCGTTTCCCATGGTGGTTAATGAAGTTTGTGATCTTCCTGTCTCCCATCCTTTGTTTGTCTTGTTTATTTAGGTTCTCTTCCTGCCTGTGCTTAGGTGCACACTTGAAGTGCCTTGTTAACTGAGCTGGCTTTTCCTCCTTGATTTCCAGGAAGCTATTCCTGGTGGGAGAGGCAAGAACACGCACGTGGGCCTCGGGGACTGGAGTTTCTTTAGGAATCTGCATAGGACAAAGGAGCTTTGATTCTCCTTTGGATCTCTTAACTCCTGCAATAGTTTCTGGTGGCTTTTCCCAATAAATTTCCCAATAAGTTTCCTAGTAAACCATTCTTGGCAAATCCAGAAGCTGAAATCTCACTGGTTTGTGTTCTGTCATCTCTGGGCATTTGTATTTCATTTTTGATTTGTTTTTTTTTTTTTTTTTTTTTTTTTTGTGAAGGCAAGTATTAAAACTTCTGTGTTGTGGTTAAAAGGGAGACTGGATAATGGATTTTGTCCAGAACTGGGAAAGCAGCACTGTAATCACCTCCCCCGTAGATTTCCAGAATTGGAGCAAATATGGATTTTAGGCCTGTACACTTACATGGTAATCCTTGAAGCCTTCCCTGAATTGCAGCTTATCCCTAGGGACAACAGCTTCCAACTTTGGTGTTTGGAACTAGTGATCTTCAAGGTCCCCTTCCAACCCAAACCATTCTGTGGTTCTATGATATCAATTTTACTTTGGCATTCTTCACATTAATAATTAATATTTTCACCGCCCTTTTTTTGTTATTGTTGGGTTTTCTGTTAAGTAAACTTAACCCCCCAAATATATTCGGCCTGCTCTAAGTTCTGGGGGGTTTTTTTGGCAATGGAGAGCTGGAGTTGAACTGATTCAATACTGTGGAAATGTCAGTAGAGCCTGTTTGAACTTTTCCTCCCTGTCCCAGCCCGGAGAAAGCAGAAGTGGTCCGTGGATCCACGAAACAGCGCTTGGAGTAAAGATGACTCTAAATTCGGCCAGAAGATGCTGGAAAAGATGGGCTGGTCCAAAGGAAAGGTAGGATCCAAAGGAGAGTTCTGTATCTGAAGGGTCTAAAACTGCCAGGGAGCTCTGATTTATTCTCTTAAGTGCACAGAGAATTTGAGCAATGTTGGATTTCTATGCTTTGTTGCAAAGGCCTGTTTTTGACTCTCCTGCTTTCCAGTTTTTCTCCCTTGTTTGGCAAGTTAATGTCCCCAAATAGGAGCAAGAGTTGGCACATTTAATTAGGCAATGGTTAAAGTCTTTTAAGTTACTGTTATGCTCTCAGTTTTCTCCCTACTTTTGATTTAAAGCAACTCCAGGACCTGCTTTAATCTTTCACCCATTTTTAAGTGGTCTGATCTGTTCCTTGAAGCCCCAAAATGCAGCATTCTGGGAGCTGAATCCCTTCCCAGCTCCAACAGGTACCTGTGGGTGAGGGCACTGGTTTCTGGCACTAAGAATAACCTCTGGGTTATCCTGCAAACTGCTCAGCTGCCCCTTAAAACCACTTTTAATTCCACAGAGATGCCTCAGCAAAGCTGAGATTTGGGCCTGCACATCAGCGTGTTTAGTGCTAAGGATGCCCACAAAACCCCCACTACCTTTATTTAATTCTCCTCCTATATTTTCTCACCCAGACTTTCTTTAACAGAAATAAAATTAGGATCATTCTCCGTCCTGTGAATGCTTTAAAGCCTGTTCTCACATTTCTCAGTGTAGCTGCTGTTGCTTCAGTTGCCTCACAAGTTTCCCACTTGAGCTGCTGGATCTTCCTTTCCAACGGTTACAGCTGTGCAAGAAGGATTTCTCTCTCCATTCCACTACAAACTCAAACAAATGCAACCTCACCTTGACCAAATTAATGGGCAAAAGCCCATCTCTGCAGTGCAGTTAAGCTGCTTACACTAGTCCTGTCATCAGTTGTATTGGAATTGGGTCAGGGCAGGATGTGTGGCTGAGTGGCCTGTTTGCTTCCACACTTTTTTTTGGGTAGCAGGAGTTTCAAGGCAAATTTTCCACCCCAGGGACCAAATGAACTCAAGTGGATTTGTAATAGCAACAGCCTTTTTTCAATATGTCTCATTCCTTTAAATATTAGATATCCCAGGATCTCTCCACAGGGCTTTTCCCCATTGCTACACCACATCCATGTTCATTAAAGCCAACACACTTGGCTGATAATTTGTTACTGGTGACAAATTAGGCAAAAAGTAGGTGAATACCAGGAATAAAGTTATAAACCAAATGTTTTGTCTTTTATTTTTTTAACCCTGATCATATAGTTAAGAAAGATAACACTGGACCTGAGAATTGCTTCCCAGATTTGAATGACTGTGGGTTTTAGGATAGAGAATTCCCATAGTTGTTTGCTCCAATATTTCCATCAAATTATGAGTGTGAACGGGGTAGAAAAAGTTGTTAATATCCTGATTCTCCCCTACCCCTCCTCTGTTTCCCTCCCTTATAAACTTCTTTAGGATTATACTGTCCATGTGGATCTGCCTTCCCAGTGACAGAGGTATTTTACGGTAGGGACCTCTTCTGTATATGTAGTGTCTTGGTTTAAAACAGTAAACACTCTGGGCTTGCTTAGGAATGTCAGGTGACTTCCTGATTAATCACCCAACTGCTTAATGTTGTTGCTATTTTAGTGTTTATAATACTTTGCTGGAGGCTTAAGTAGTAAATTTTAAAAACTGAGTATCTCGTGTGCTAAAGCCTGTGAATGAATTCAGTTCAGGCAGGAAAATAAATAGTAAGTTGTGATTTCTTGTCGTATTTCATTGCAAATTCTTAAAGTACAAAAGCTCTGATTGCTCAGTCACTGCTGTAAAATCCTTACTTTTTACCTTTAAATCCTCCTTAGGGTCTTGGGGCTCAGGAACAAGGAAATCCAGAACATATCAGGGTGAAGGTGAAAAACAACACGCTGGGATTAGGAGCAAACATCAACAACGAGGTGAGAACTAGACCCAGGTGAGGGAATGGCTCCTTTCAGCTAAAACACAAATTTTTAAATAGAATATTAGTGAAATCTGTTGTCACATCTGGTGGTAGAATGTACCAAACAGGATTGTTTATGACTTACAAACTCAACCCTTATAATTTTATCTGACTTTGGAGTGACTGTGCGAGCTGTTGGTGTTATCCCCCTGTGGAGCTTCCCAGGGTCCCTCCCACCAACAAGGATTGAATATACCCAATTAAGTTATTACTTAATATCTGTTTTAGCAGAATTTGTGTTAGTTCTGAAGACTTTTGCCTTGTATTCATGTGGGTGATGTTTACAGGACAACTGGATTGCTCATCAGGATGACTTCAACCAGCTCCTGGCTGAACTGAATAGTTGCCATGGACAGGGTGAAACAGGTAGGTTCATGCTTTGCTCAATCAGATGCTGGAAACTTAGCAGAGTTTCCATTCTGTGTCTTAAAAGATGAGCTGAGGCCCAATTTGGGCTCCTTGCTGAGGTTGACAACTCCTCCTTCTCCCTCAAAATCAGTGAGAGCCAAAGGATGTGTTGCCGTCCATGACCATGCTGAAGTTTCTCTGCCTGGATATGTAGATATCTCAGTGGATCAGTTTTGCTCTCAGGACTGAAATAAAGGCTTTTTGTTGTTTATTTTAACCAGGATCACAATATTTGGGACCTTTTTCTGGGCTGTACTACAGCAACACTTGTTTCTTTATCCAGAGTCTGTCTGAAGGCTCACAACAATCACTCACAGTTGCAATGTTTTGTCTTCCTTTTAATAGTGAATTGTCACTCCTGGCTTCCATGTTCCACTGGTTTCTTAAATACCTCCTTTTCCTGTCCTTGGAGAGTTGCTCCATAGCTTTTGACTCAGGGTTATGCATCTCTGCTTTGAGTGTGCTGTAATGTGATTTTTGTAGCCCTCGTGTTGAGCACACAAGTGGGGAAACCACAACTTTCCCAAAAGGGCTATTTATAAAGTCCTTTTATTTTTGAAAAGCTTTGTACAGCTTGACTTTGGTTTGTAAAAATGAAGTTGTGGTGGGTGTGAGCTTACAGAAAGAATGGGTTTATCCAATGGTTTATCACCTCTCCTTTAGTTAGACTCAGGTTTAAGTCAGATCATACATCTGAACAACTCTCTGGAGCTTAGTGAATTTAGCAACTCTTCGTTCATTTATTCTTAACCCTTGAGCACTGAAGGTTTTCTAGGAGAGGAAATGCAGAAAGGTGAGGAGGAAAATCAGTTAGCAAGAAGGTTTTCTAATCCTAGACAACTGGGGTTAAAATTTTGAACCTGGTATTTAAAAACACCTTTTTTAAACTGCTGTGTAAGTTCTCCTTGTGCCCTGGAGCCCTGATAATGGTCTGAGGCCACACAGCACTTGGGGCTGTCCTTCAAGTCCTCAAGAGGTAGAAGAGCATATCACAGGGAAATTCCAAAAGTTCCTTTCTGCCTTTGTAACTAAATCCTACCCAAGTTCCAACTTGAGCCATGGGAAGATGAGGAAGGTGTAGCTGGTGGGAAAACCTGCAAAGTGCTGGGCAGAGAGTTGAAGTGACTTGCCCAGGGACACAGTGAGTCAGCACAGAGGCAGGTTCATTGAGCAAGGCTGTCTTGTTCCTAAAGCTGTTGCCTGGGTCACTGATGCAAAATGCTCCATGAAAGCTGTATTTCTCCCTGCTTTACTCAGTTATTTTAAGTTTTCAATCACTGAGAACAAATTTGGGTGCACATTGAAAATTCCTGGTCACAATCCCCTTGGGTGATTTACAGAAAGCACAAAGCTCTAAAACTTGTTTTTTTGGCAGTTTGCTTAAGCTGGCAAAACTCATCCGGCAAACTCTGCCTGCAGCTGTGCTGCAGGATCAAATGTTACATTACTGGCCATCAGCCAGTTTCAAACTGCATTAAAAGTCAGCTGAAAAACTTCATTGTTCTTAAAGAGCTGCTGGAGTTGCCAGAGCTGGGTTGCAATTAGAGGTCGGAAGGGAAAGGCCCTGTGGGGGTTGATTTGCCAACATTCAAGTACCCTCTGTGTAGTTTTACCTTTCTTTTCCTTTTTTCTAGGTGAGCACCCAGTGAGGGCAGGTTTAATTAGATTAGATGTTAGGAAGAAATTATTTATTGTGAGGGTGATGAGGCCCTGGCACAGGTTGCCCAGAGAAGCTGTGGCTGTCCCTGGATCCCTGGAAGTGTTCAAGGCCAGGTTGGACAGGGCTTGGAGCAACATGGGATAGTGGAACAGGGTTGGAACTACATGGTCTTTCCCACCCAAACCATCCTATGATTCCTGGCTCTTTTGCTGGGATACTCAGTGATGAAATCTGTGTCCCTTTCCCATCTTAAGATGCAGAAACATCATCCTGGCTGCGTCTGTGATGTGCCTTGGAATATCCATCTGTAGAAATAACATTTGACTTTCTTGCTTGGACTAAATGGTTTTAAAAAGCACAATAATATTCCTGCAGTGCTCACTCAGTTTGTCAGAGGATTTTTTTTCCAATCCCTGGCAGACATAGGGATGCACTTCCCTGCCCATTGCAAGTGCCAGCACGTTCTGGGAGTGAAATTCCTCCCTGCAGGCACAAGGCGGTGCTGCTGCGCCTTTCCCTGGAAGAATAATGTGGAGAAGGAAGCGCTGTGGGAACCCTTTGCTGTGTAATGCTCCTTTTGGTACAAGTAGCTTGGAGAATAGGCTTGAAGTGTCGTGTCTCTGTTCAGGATATTTAAGTTGTGATGCTTGTTTTCCCCACAGAACGTTTTTATTGGGGAATTTCTGTTAAAAATTGGGTTTGCTGGTCCTCTCTTCCCATTAGGGCTTAGTGTGGGAGAGTGGATCTCAGCTTTTTGGCACTCAGCTCTTCCACTGCAGGCTGAGGATTTCAGGTTTAGGTCAGTGATTCCATCGTCAGGTGGCACTACCTAACAAACAGGGAAGTGCTGGAATTCCAGTGTCAGAAAAGCTTGGGCTGAAAAGCTTTCCAGGGTGGGATCATGTAAAAAAGATGACTCAACTTGGCCCTCAGGGCATGGGTTCATTTCCTTACCCATTCCCAGTTGCCACTGGAAGGAAAAAAACATCTCATCAGAGTAACCTTTTCGTGGAGTTACGGAGCAGAGAATCCTGTGGTGCCTATTTTCAGGACAAAACTAATAAAGTACTTATTAACTGTACAGCAGGTTGATTCACTCCTTCTGAGATTTTTCTGGGGGGGGGAAATAACAGGCTCTGTGGGTGCAAAGAGAAGGTTTGTACCCCTAAAATAACCTGCCACAGCTCAGGAACGTGATGTCTCTACTGTTAAATCATGGGACTAATCCTTCATGTGGCTTTAAGCTGCTGCCAATCTCCCAAACTTCTGAGTGAATTTGGAACTCAGCCAAGCCCAGAGGCCATTCCTACTGGACAGTTTAGATGCAATCCCTCTCCTGGAAACTAGGAAAATGAAATGATATGGATGTGGCAGTTTGTTCTAGCTGGCCTGAGGGACAGAAAAGCTTTGCCACCATTCAGTTTCCTTACACAGATGGATCAGCTTATGTCCAAATAAAGGTATTTTGTGTAGGGTTAGAAGTGGAAATCCTGTAATTTCCCTCCCTTTCTCTACCCAGGCAGGTTAAGTATTTTATTTTGCACTATTTCTTATATCTTTCTCAGACTTTGGCACTGGGGATATTTTGTAACAAACGGCACAATAAACCCTGACCTGTTACTCTTTTCTAACCACAGAGATGGATCTGCCTTAGACCTGGAGTGCCTGTATCTGCCTTTTCAAACTACATTGGATTGGAAACAGGAAGGGAAAGAGATGTGGCAAAAAAAAATCAAGCAGTGACATGTCTCAGACAAAACTTGCCATGCTTCCTTCAGTAATATATTGTGATATTTTGTTGAGACTGGGTTTTGAGAGAGAAAGTTAAATACACTGGTGTTTGAATGTGGTGGTTAAAGTGCCTCTAACAGGGTTGGAACCTGTTTCCTTGGATTTTTTTTTTTTAGAGCCCTCAGTGAAAAATCAGAAAAAGACATTCAGCCTCGAAGAAAAATCCAAATCTTCCAAGAAACGTGTCCATTATATGAAGTTTGCCAAAGGTAAGAGGGGTTTTGTTGTTTCATAAGCTCTGGCCAAGCTTAGAACAAACCCTTTCAGGGTGATTTGTTGCCTTCTGAAGTTAAATCTTGGTTTAGGAATACCCCCTGCAGAAACTTGCTTAGAGCTATAATGTACTATCTCTCTTTATTTTGGGTAATTTTGGATGGCTTTAGGCTGATTAGTTGAATAAAACAGTTCCTACCTGAAGGAGCCACCAACTGGGTAAAGGAACAGCGAATATTCCAAGTTGTGGGTGCGTGAGCAGGGAATGGGAGGGGGGAAAGATGATGATGGAGTGACTTAGGATCTGCGTGGCACTATCCCCTGAGATCTCCAGTAACCCTGCTCAGAGATCATGAGGATGGGATCAGGGATCAGATTAAACCTGAAGGAAGGCAGGAAAGCCCTCTTACGTCCACCAGATACTTTATGGGATAAATTAGGACAGTGGTTGGTGGCCAGAAAAACTATCAAAAACTCATGGAGTTTAGTAATTTCTTCCTTAGAGCAATTACATTATTTCAGTCATCCCTGGGTTTGGCTCCTGACAATTCTAGAATCCTTTCTCTGTTCCTCTGCTCCCCTTTCACACACCCACATGCACATGGTGTGTGTACCTGTTTCAGGGTATGGATAGGATCAGTTCCACTAATGGCTGATTTATTAAACTGAAAGCTCTGTGCAATGTTTTTGGACAGCAAATGCCTCTGCTAAAACAGAGCTAATTGATGTCTGAATGGAGGCCAAATTTTTTATGTTGGGGTTTGGGATTTTTGATTAAATAAATTGGCCTTGAAGTCAAACCTGTTAACTCGACCCTGCCACTTTATGACATTAAACAATTAAATTGGTTCAGGGCTTGCAAGTGCAGAGGCCATGGCCTGTTTGAGGGAGTGGCAAAGAGGATTTATTTTGATTTGGATTTAACCTTTTGCTAAATATAGAGGAAAAAAGAAGTGTCTTTTGAGCATGTAAAATACAGATGAAGGCTTTCATATTCACAATACCTCTTATTTATTTGGTCGTGTTTCCACAAGGCAGCCCCTTGTTTGCTTGCACCCTCTGTGGTCTAAACCAGGGAAATTGTCCTTTTTCAGGGAAAGAGGAAAAGTTATTTGAGAAGGGCTGGTGTTGTTGTGGCCCTTGTTGTTCAAGCCTGATCCTGCTTCCTTTCAGACTAAACAAGACAAGCTCACACAAAAGCTGGAGAAGGGAACAGCGACGGCACAAAATGCGGCTTCCGTTTGCGGGGCTGGAGAGACACAGGGAGCACACACAACCCTTGGGTCTGGGAATACACACCAGTCTGAGATTAAAACACTGACTGCAGCTGCTTTTCTAGCAGCTGTTCCACTGGGATGCTGCTGGAGGTTATGAATGTCAGCTGAGTTGGTTTTCTGTTAGAGAGAGAGGAGCAGGGGAAGGCACGGGCAGACAGTGTAGGGTAAGAGGAGGAGCAGGAGGATTTTAGGTGTCGTTTTCCAAGCCTTGGCCAAGATAAAGCTGAAAACAACCACCAGTCTCATCCAGCTTGCTTGGGTAAGGACATTTAGAGGCTGTGCAGTGAGGCACCAGGAAGCTGGGTCACACTTTCTCCTCTAGGTTGATGTGTGTGTTTGCCCTCTGTAGGCAGTTCAGGATCCCGAGGAAAAGAAACAGGTTAAATAGTCAGATTTTGGGTTGTTTGGGTTTTTTTGTCCACTACAAGATTCATTTTGAGGTCACTGATTTTGGAATCAGAAAATCAAGTGATTAAGACCCCAGCAGACTCCTAATTAGTTGAGCTGTCTGGACTAATTTTGTTTAAATCTTTAACTTTTGCTGAGCTTTTTTAAGAGGTTTTTCTGAGAGAAACTGTGGAAAACCCAATATAAAGGTTCCTGCACTGTGGAATTGGCAAAACTTTTGCTCGAAACTCTGAATATCACATCACATCACACCCTTCTGCTTCCCCCTCCCTGCTCCATGTCTGATGTCCAGTTAGCCACACAACAACGAGATGGGAATAATGGTCCTGCTGGGAATCTTTGCTTCACCCTCAAAATTGTTTTGAGTTGGAATAATCCAGTGTTGGAGAGATGGAGGTTTTGCTTTTCAGAAGCAACATCAGGAATCAAAGTCCCCACGGAGTAAAGATGGAATTTTTTTTTTCATTGTATGGAGGACCTACAACTCCCTAATTCTGTCAGAGACAGGGAATCCTCCTGAGAATCCAGAGATCCTACACATACACACATTTCCTCATGAGTACCTTCATTTAGTGTCTTCATCACAGAATCACAGAATGGTGTGGGTTGGAAGGACCTTAATGATCATTAGTTCCAACCCCCTACCATGGGCAGGGATACCTTCCACTAGACCAGGTTGCTCCAAGCCCTATCCAGCCTGGAGTTCCTGATTTTTATTCACCTCCTGATTGTTGTTCACCTCCAAAAGCAATTCCTCTGTCTCTGTGGGTCAGTTTGTGTTACCAAAATGTCCCTGTCATCACCAGATGTGAAGGTTTGGGATTTTTTTCCCTCTCTTTACCCCCTCCAGGTAAGGACCTCTCATCCTGCAGTGAACATGATCTGTCCTGCATATTTGGGAGGAGACAGAAGAGTGGGAAGACACAGGTAAACAAGAAGCTTCACCTTTCTCTTGTTTCCATGCTTATTATCCCTCATAACAAAACAGTATTTAAACGTTTTGCTGCTAATTTGTTTCTACTAGAAAGGCTGTGCTTGAACTGTGAGGAAATAAGAGTGAATTTAATCCATATTTTGTGAATTATTGTGATGTAACTTCTTTGGAGTTAGGAAACTCCAGTATTTTTATTTTACAGTTGTTAGGAAATGCACATCACCAAGGAGAATTTTGCTTCATCTGAAAGGTCAAAGGTTGGACTCAATGATCTAAGAGGTCTTTTCCAACCTAAATGATTCCGTGAAAGATCCATAAATATCCAAAATAAAATTGGATATTCAGTAGCAACTGGGCAATCTCAACAAACTGCCCTTATTCTCACAAAAATTGGGAAAGGCTGAGCAGCTGCAAAGGATTCAAAGGTGGCTTGAACACTGATAAATATTTAATGAGAAGACCTTTCCCCTGACTTTGTGTAATGAGAGCAAGGTTTGGACTGGTTTTTATTTTATTTATGTGCTCATTAGCATTTTGCACTTGCAGAGAACAGACCTGCTGTATCTGTGTATAAAATAACAGACACTGTAACATGAAAAATCCAGAAAAATCCTGTGGAAAAAACAACACCTGGAAAAGCACAAATGAATATGTTGCAAGAATTGGTTCCAAGTTGTCTGAAATCTCTTGTTTAGAGGGAAAGGAGGGGCTTGAAATTAAGTGGAAGTTTCTGGAATACCCTGTATGTGTTTGACACCTTGCTTCTCATGCAGTACTCTTGGAAATTGTTCTGGAACTTCACATCAGGCCTCTGGGAGCTTTGGGAGGAGAGGAATAAGGGGAGAATGTGCTGAGAGGTCTGGGATAGTAGTGGAAATAATACAAGGTTTTTTACCTGTAGAATGACAGGGGAGCTGGTGAAGAAGGAATAGTGATCCACTGGGGATTGTTCCCTGGAAAAACCTCTGTAAAATAAAGAATACTTCAATGGTGTATCTTCACTTGAACAGTTTGAAGGATTTGTGCCATTATCACATATAGTGTTATATTTCCAGTGAATCTGCTGTAGATTTTGAAGTGGTTGGTAAGTTTATTGGTGACAGAGAAAGATGTCAAGTCTGTTCCTGAGTTCTCTGTAAAATACACTGACAGCTAATTAAACCAGGAGGCTGGAAGAAAGTTAAACAAACTAAGAACTGCCCTGTCTTGTCTGCCACTGCAAAAAACAGTGGGAACCTTTGTTACAAGTCACATGGGTTTCAAAGGTAAGAGCTTGGGACCAGGCCATCAGCCACCACAGAACCCATCTTAGCTTATTACTGTCTTGAAATAAGAATTTGGGGACTTCAAATCCCTGAGAGCTGTTGGAGCTCTCAAATGCTGTGGGTGAACTTGCACCAAGGGGAGCCCTGTTGGTTAACACTTCTGAATATGCCATGGATCCACTGCTTGGCTCCCTTGCTGTCAGAGCAAGATGAAGCAGGACAATCTGGGATTTGAAGCAACTCCACAGGGCTGTGGTTAAGGGAGTTGATTCACACACACAAGAATCCTCCTCTGGTTTGCAGGAGGTCTCAGGCCTGCTTGTCACTTGGTGTTCAAGTGTTTTCTGAGCAGGCTCTTGGGGCACAGGATGCTCTGCTGTGCTCCCCACCTCACCGTGGGCTGGCCCAGCTCCAGATGGATCCATGTTTGGATTCTCTTCCATTTTCTTTTTCCCCTGGAGCCCTGTTGGTTAACACTTCTGATCCCCTAAATATGCCATGGATCTGCTGCTTGGCTCCCTTGCTGTCAGAGCAAGATGAAGCAGGACAATCTGGGATTCAAAGCAACTCAGCAGTGCTGTGGTTAAGGGAGGGGGTTTTACCCCACCCATGAGTCGTCCCAGATAGCTGGTCTTGTTTTCTCCACATGTTCCATATCTGTTGGAACTCAGGTTTGGAAAGTGCTGCTTCTGGGGCTTTATCCTGGAGAACACTTAATTTTTTAATGGATAGACACTGCATATGACGTGGATTTGAGGCTGCTTATGAAGGGTGTATAACTGTGCATGTTTTTGCTAATCCCAGTGGTTGACTGGTGGCTCTTGTGCAGATTTCCTTTTTCCCCTCGCTGAAAGGGTTCAAGCTTCTGGCAAAAAAAGTCACAGGCTGTTCCCTCTTAAGCATCCAGATTTCCACATGCAAATCCAGGCAGGAGATAATGTCATTTGGAGCTGCATTGTCATCCTCTGGCTACTGTCTGCTGCTGAGCAGCCACAGGGAGGAAGAGCCAGAGGCAGCACAATTGCTTCCCCCAGCCTCCCTTTCTCCTTTTCTTCATGGGTCAGAGATCTGTGGAGTTTGCACACAACAAAAAATGCACTGCTCAGGCCCTCCAGCTCTGAGCAATTTCATTTCACTGCACCCATGAACTCTCATGATCCCTTTCCATCATGTTCCAGAGCCTAGTCCTTAAGGTGGCACAAATGGAACTGCGAGGATTTGCAGGAGTTCTCTGTTTGCTTTCTGGTTTGAAATCCCTGAGCTGTGGGCACTTCCCTGGCGTGGCAGAGAGCTCACTACAGGAGCAGGAAAGTGCTGTCATTCTCCTGGAAGTGAGTTGTTCCTGCCTGTTCCTGTGTACAGATAATGTAGGAAGAGTCCTGGTGTCCAGCAGAGCCCTGGGTAGGGCCTACAGGAAAGATGGAGAGAGACAATTTGCAAGGGCCTGGAGGGACAGGACAAGTGGGAATGGCTTCCCACTGACAGAGGGCAGGGTGGGATGGGATATTGGGAAGGAATTCTTCCCTGTGAGGGTGGGGAGGCCCTGGCACAGGTTGCCCAGAGCAGCTGTGGCTGCCCCATCCCTGGAAGTGTTCAAGGCCAGGTTGGACAGGGCTTGGAGCAACCTGGGATAATGGAAGGTGTCCCTGCTCATGGCAGGGGGTGGAACTGGATGGCCTTTAAGGTCCCTTCCATCCCAAACCATTCCGTGATTCTATAGCTTGAAGTCCTGTCTTTAAGGCTCTTTCCAAGATATCAGATCCCTCCTCTTTGTTCAGAGGTGCACTTTGAGAAGCCTCCAGCACACATTTGATTTGGACTGAATGACCAATCCTCAGCTCACAACAGTTGTCATTCCACTCTTGATCTTTTGACGAAGACATTCAGCAGAATTCTTTTTCCCATATTTCTAGTTGTTTCAATCCGGGATCAGAACAATCTTGGGTGTAACTTCATGGAAAGATGCAGGAACTGCTTTTCACAGTGACAGAATTGCTGAGATTGGAGGAGTCTTGAAGGTTTCTGGATCAGTCACTGCTCAAAGCAGGGTCAGCTCTGGCAGGATATTCAGGAGTTTGTCCAGCTGAGTTTTGATTGTCAGCCTTCCTTAAAGCCTCCAGTTTAAGCCTGTGACAAAATTCAGTGGATGGATGGAAGAGATCCCTTAAGGAGGAGAAGATCATAGAATCATTAAGGTTGGAAAAGGCCTTTAGGATCATGAAATCCAAACATCAGCCAGCACCACAACCATGTTCATCACTAAACCATGTCCATATCCACACTTTTGTGAACATTTCCAGGGATGGTGACTCCACTGCTTCCCTGAGCAGCCTGTGACAGTGCTTGACAACACCTTCCATGAAGAAATTGTTCCCAATATCCGGTCTAAACCTCCCTAGTGTCGTCCTAAGTCTGGCTGGTTGATTGGATCACACCAGACTTGAAGATTAGGAAAAAGGAGGAAAAAAGCAAAACCCAGGGAATTCCATCTGTGGTCAAAGGGAAATTAGTGGAAGGACTCAAGGCTCAGTGACATGATCTCTGGACAAGCAAGATAATCTGAGTCTTCTGAAGTGCTTGTCAAAAATAGTCACCTCTGAACTGGTGCTGTGATAAAGTGTCCCAGCACATCAGATGTGTCACAAAGCCACTGTTCCAATTAGCCCTACCCAGGCTTTTCCAGTGTGGTCATTAGCAGTCATTTTATGATCTTGACCTGTGGAGTAGCCTTTGGCAGGAGATGTTTTGTATGAGCTTAATCTGAGCTGCCTTAACTGTAGAGTTGATCTCGGACTCAGTTTTTCACTCAGTGGCTAAGGAGTGATCTGAGTGATGGATCCTTTCTCTTGTTTCACACCAGCACTGCTGCAGTAAGTGGGGAATGTTGAAACTTGGATTATCTACCTTATCAAAGGAAGAGGGAGTTGGCTGGAGGATTGTAAAGATTGCAAAAGAGTGGAATTGCAAAGGGTATGGAAGGAAATGCTGTTTGCCCCTGAGGGTCAAAAGGAGTTTCTCTAGAAGTAATAAAACCAAGATACAAGTTGAAGCTGTTGTTTTGATGGTTCTGGGATATGTGTTACTAATCAGAGGCACTTGCAACCCTTAATTCTGAATGTCAAACACAGCAGTCTTTTTTTTTAATTATTTTTGATAAATCATGTGCCCAACTCAAACCTCCTTAATAAACTATACAGGGACCTTTGTTTAAAAAGAAAAAAAAATACAAGTCAAAAAAACGAGAGGGGAAGAAAACAATGGCTGGGCTTCAGAGTGGACCTAAATTGAAAACATCTGCAGTTTTTCCCAGGGAGAGCAGCAAGTGATCGAAAATATTGAATTGTAATTATGATGCTCTCTGGAGACCTGCAGAGAGGACCTGTTTTGCAGGGTAGGATCTTGCCACACTGTTTTTTGCCCCCCACTTTCCCTCTGATTTTCTCACTCGCTCAGGAACACTGGGAGCTGGGGAGACAGAAAAACAAATTCCATTAGTTCCTATCTGGTTGAACTTCCTGGAACCCCCACTATTTTTTTTTTTTTTGCTTCTCAGAATTTCCTTCCTCCATCCAGCTGTGTTTCCTGATGAAGCCTTATCACTGGAGAAAATGCTCCTGAGTGAGACTGAGGATTTGGGAATGAGTTACAGACGGTCCCAACTTGGTTGCTGAACAACATGATTCTGGCACTGATTTCGCTCTGGGGGCTGGGGGAGTAGCTCTGATTTG